CAAGACCAATTCATATTCACTGGTTTGGAGGATAGTTCACTTGAGAACTTGACCAAAGTTATCTTCATTCTCCTATGATTTGTCATGGGATGGTGGCCCAGGACCTTGCTTTGTTATCCTACCCACTTTCACTAAAAAGATTTCATTACAGGGCTGGAGAGATGGCTCAGCAGTTAAGAGCACTGACTGCTCTTGCAGAGGACCTGGATTTGATTCCCAGCACCCACATAGAAGCTACGAACCATCCTTAACTCCAGTTCCAGGGGAATCCGAAACTCTCTTCTGACCTCTGCAGCATCGCATGACATGGGTGCACTCACATACATGCAGGCAATACACTCATACACATAGAATAAAAAAATAATAATAATAATTTTTTTTAAAAAAACGATTTCATTACATAGACAATGTAACGCAGGACTCTGAGTATTTTACTGATTTAGAAAGGCATCTGGGAAGCCAAGCACGGTAGCACATGCCTTAATCTTAAAACAGAGACAACAGACGGATCTCCATGAGATTGAGGCCAACATGGTCTTTGCAGTAAATTCCAGGTTAGCTGAGTTTACAGGGAGAGCCTGTCTCAAAAAAAAAAAAAAAGAGGCCAGCCTGGTATATGTATGTAGCAAGTTCCAGATCAGCTGAGGTTACAGGGAGACCCTACTCACCAAAAAAAAAAAAGAAAGAAAGAAAGAAAGAAAGAAAGAAAGAAAGAAAGAAAGAAAGAAAGAAAGAAAGAAAAAGAAAAGCAAGCAAGCATCTGCTGGGGAGGTTGGGAGGTCGGGAGGTGTCAGGAGATGGCTTTGACAAAGTGCCTGCCACACAAACACAAGGAACTGAGTTCAGGTCTCCATACACAAGCTGGGCATGGTGGCATGCCTCTAACTTTAGCACTAGAATGCACAGTGACAGACGAGTTCCCAGAACTTGCTGGCAAGTCAGTCTAGCCAATTGATGGGCTCTGGGTTCAGTGAGAGACTGTCTAAAAAACTAAGGTAGAGTGGGTTAGAGAGATGGCTCAGTGGTTAAAAGCACTTATTGCTGCTCGTCCAGAGGACCCAAGTTCAGTTTCAACAACCATGTGAGGCAGCTCACAACGCTTCTGGCCTCTGTGAACATCTGCACTCATGCGCACACACACACACAAAGTTTTAAAAAATAATGATAAAAATGAATCTGAAAGACCTATAAGTACACCCAAAAGAACAAGAATAGAGATCAGTCCACATAAAGGGCAAGGGCCAGACACAGCTGTAAAGTCTTGGGAGTATTACAGTCTGCAAAGATACATATGATACCTGACATGATTATTGAGAAAATCCTGTAAGAGCCAGTGCCTGTGAATGTGAAACAGGGGCAGGGATTTGGGGAGCTTCTGGGTTACTGGTGAACTTTTATACCACACCTGACCCAAATTACCCATCCTTTTTATAACTTGATTTAAAAAGGGGGTACCATGTGGGATTAAGATAAGAAGACTCAAAAGGCTTTAGAGAAGGCTAAGGTCCTTGTAGAACAAGTTAAACAGATATATACCCTGTTACCTCAGTGTCCATTCATGTTACAAATCACCAGAAGCTCAAAGGGCTACAGCTGGAAACTATGGCAAAAACAACCTGAGCAGTTACAACAGGGTTTTGGTTCCAGCCAGAGAAAGGGGCAAAAGTTGGTATACATCCCTGGAACAGCACTTGCTAGCTGTAAAGCACTGGAACAGGTAGAATCCATCAAGATTCCACCTCAGTAACAGTAAAGATAGCTTATGCAAGAAAAGGTTGGAATGAAGGACTTCTAGGTCTCTGCCAATCAAACTCTGCAAAAGTGGTGAGCATATTCACAATGAGGTGTGGTGTCTGCAAACCTGTCATTAATGCCATGCAGGCTATGCAAGGGTCAAAGTCCTTTCAAAGCATGAGTGCCTCCACCAACCAAACCAGGAAGAAACCAGGTCTGCTTATCTCTATAGATGCCTAATACAGAGATGACATCAGCAAGGGCACCAGACAGGAAGAGGTATGGGTGGCTGCAGCAATACCAATGAACACAGACTCTACATGACTGGAGAGAGAATCCAAGAGTAGCCAGTGGGCTGAGTTAAGAGAAGTCTGCTTGGGAGGCAAAGGCAGGAGGATTCTGTGAGTTCAAGACCAGTCTGGTCTACGTAGCAAATTCCAGGCCAGCTGGGGCTACAGGGAGACCCTGTCTCAAAACGACCAAAGGAAAAAAAAAGAGAGAGCTAGAAGTCTGGAGTCCATTACAATATCTCATGAGACTTGGCCTTTGACAATCAGTACTGAAAGTTGGGATGTGTTCAGAGGCCTGACTTTATGGATGGCCTGATGAGAAAAAGAAAATTAGCAGGTGCAAGGTTGGCCACTGTGGGCATGACAAATATGGAAGGAAATACATAACAGGAATCAAAGCCCCTGGTAACTTTCTGTGTGGCAGCTCATAGCCCATTGAGTCTTCCTGGAAACTAAGAAGCAGATGCCCTTATTAAAATATAAGACATCTGGGGCTGGAGAGATGGCTCAGCGGTTAAGAGCCCTCACTGGCTGCTCTTGCAGAGGACCCAGGTTCCGTTCCTAGCACCCACATAGCGGCTAACAACTGTCAGTAACTACAGTTCCAGGGGATCTGACACCCTCTTCTGACCTCTATGGGCACTGCACAACATGGGTGCATTTACATACACACAAGCAACACAATCATACACATAAAATAAAAGTAATAAATATTTAAAAAATATGAGACATTTGCTCTCAGGTAACCCATCTAGGCTGCTCACTAGGTTCATAGGAAGTCTGGCCACAGAGAAAACAACATAGGCTGAAAAGTAGCCAAGGCCACTGGCATTTCCATGAAATATCCCAATATGTTGCATGTGAGGCCTATTCTCAATTATGGCCATGGCAGATGAATGCTATGATGAGGTAAATACATAAATCTACCTGTCCTGTGTGGGATTAATAATAAACCACATAGGGTTTATGTCTGTCAGGGAGAGATGCAAACATGTCCTTACCTGTGTGGACTGCTACAGGCCTCTCGCAAGTATTTCCATGTAAACGAGTAATAGGTAAGGCTATTATCAAGGGTCTTGTCTTACTCAGTGTTGGGTATAGGTATCCCTGGAAAACTGACAGTGATGGGGCACTCCTTTCACAAATACTGATGTGCAGAACTGGGCTGAGGGCAAACAGGTCCAGTGGTACTTCCACCTATACTACAACCCTATAAGGGCTGGGTTAATTGAAACAAAAGGTGTGTTGCTAAAACAGCAGTCAGAGAATTTGAGTGGAGGTACCCTACAACGGTGAGAAAGGAACACACCCAGAAACCACAAGATTATTAAATGAAAAACCCTAGTGCCAGGGGTGGCCTACCTCATTATGAACTGTCAGTTACGGAGGCTCCTAAAGTCCCCGAAACAATACAGACTATTGCCACTGTTGTTGGTTGTCCACCAGAATTAGATAGTAGTACTGTACTGCTGAAGATACCATATGCCATGGTTGCAGGATGTAGAGAAATCAAGCTGGAGCTGAGCTGGACACTTCTACCCTCTGGCTAGCTTTCATAGTGCTGAAAGCAGGCTTGCGGTGAGGGGGGATGTGCAACCAATTGTCCTACTTGGCTGGGGACCCTGAATGCTAGACTATCATCATGCTAGGCCAGTGCCTAATGGTGCAACTATTATAAGTACAACCAATTATTCTCTGTTTGGATTAGTGGCCCATTCCACAAGAGAAAATTCGTGTTTGGTTCTGTAAACCTGGTCAAAAGCCCATGGCTAGGGAAGTCATAGGACCTATTGAAGAAGCTATAGCTGTTATTTTGCTTAATAGCTACAAGGTACCCAGCAAATTGCCTTCTAAATATTTCCATTTATGCCCCTAGATTAGTGCTGCTGTCATCTTCCATCTGAGAAGTTTCTTTTTGCAATAGGCAGCAGTTACTGCAGAGACTCATAACTGGTCATAGTGCTGACTGTTGAATGCTCAGCCCTAAATGGGATAGCTATATCATCCCATCCTAGGCTCAGGCAACATCCTGGAAGAGGGGGCAGAAAGAAGGGTAGAGTCAGAGGGAGTGGAGTGTCCTGGAATGTTACCAAGTGCTGTGATTACCCACCAGAGACCTGAACAATATTGGGCCCATTCACTTTCCATCATGGAATGAGGGAGGGGCTCACGAAACCCTACCTCTCCCTGCTCCTGGAGGATTTATAGAGTTAACAGTTGCTGGGAAGGAGGGGCTCTAAAGCACCCCACCCTGAGAATTTATAGGCAGTTAACAGTTGCTAGGAGAGGGACTTTTTTCAGTCCCTCCTAAGTTGCTCATGCTCTTGTAAGTAATCATAATTAAACGCATCGGTTCGCCAAGCTTGATTGGAATGGAATTGTTTCTTTGATCTGTTGTTGGTGACCTATCTGGTGAACAGAGGTATGTTCATCTCCCCTGGAAACGTTCAGACAAGCAGAGAAAGCAAGACAAAGAATTATGTACACACATGCTTCCTTTTGTGTAAGAAAAGGGGAAATTATTTGTGTCTGTGCTTACATATATTATCCGGAAGAAACAATGGCAACTATCACTAAGGTGCCCTAGGCGCCAATTTCTTTTACTATGATTAGCATAAAGTACACCTGAAGGGGAAAAAAAAAATCCAGACACTACCAAAAACCTTTAGATGTGGCTTTCAGCCTAAAAGAACTATGCATAGCCAGAGGTGCTGTAATCACAGCACTCCGAGGCTGAGACCGGAGGATGCAAGCTGGAGCTCAGCGTGAGCTACAAACCTCTCTCTGCCCCTTCACAAAAAAGGCGGGGAGGATGCACGAGTTAATTAGGAGAAATGAATCACAAACCCAGAATGTGGGCCAGCTCTAGGGAAACATGAAAGCTCACTTCACCAATGAATGTCTTAAGAAGCGAGGGAAATCATTCCAGAGGAGGCACAACGACCAATAGAACGCCGCTGGAGAGCGCCTGCAGAAGGGCATCTTGCGGGAATAGGGCACGTGGCCGCGAGCGCAAGCTCCTAACGGTCCCGGGTGGGAGGGCAGGTGCGAGCCAAGGTTCGGGGCTGGGAAGCGGCCTCGCGGGCCTCGCAGCCTCGGCGGCGCAGATGCGCAGGTTCGGATGCTTCCGCCTGCGCCAATCTCGACCCTCCTCGCGTTCCGTTCGTGCGTCCGAGTCGAGTCGGGCGGCGGAGCGGGCTGGACCGCGGCGGGCGGATGGCGGACTCGCAGGCGTTCTGCGTGGCCGAGGAGCGCAGCGGCCACTGCGCGGTGGTGGACGGACACTTCCTCTACGTGTGGGGGGGCTACGTGGTAAGGGGAAGGGGCGGTGCGGCGCGGCGGGAGCGGCGGCCGGGGCACGGCGGCCGGAGACGCCCACCGCGCGCTCTGCGCGCCCCGCCTGCCCGGAGCCGCCCGCCGTTGCTCCCGCTCCCGAAGCCACCAAACCCGGGTTCCAGGGCGCGTCCGCATCCGCAGGGACCCCGAGACTCCGGCACCCCAGGCGCCGCGCCTTCATTTTCTTTAAACCTTGGCGCAGACCTGAGAGGACTCCAGGACGCCGTGCTGTGTGATTTTGTGTATCTCTGTAGTCCCACGGCGCGACTCCAAATACCAAAATCACGGAAGCAGTTAAATATTTCTAAGCTATTTTTAGTGGCATTTCTTTGCTAATTAAGTGCTTCTGGAGTCTCAAAATAGATTCGTGTTAGCAACACTACACCACAGAGTATTGTGCTTGAAAATGCGTATTACCATGGCGGTTGGAATGTGTGTTTGTTTTATATCTATGATCGTAGGTTTAGAGCAAGAATTGTAGAGCTGGAAAAATAATCCAGGATTACATGTCAGCAAATTTAAAGAAGTCCTATGGACGCGCTACTGCAATTAGAGCATATTCTGACTTCCGCACTATTATCATATGACAGCCCTGTAATCTGACTGAATCACACTGAAATAAAGTGTATACTATGTGTGTTAATAATTCTCAGATCCAAGTGGGTTTTTGTTGTTGTTCTGTGTGCTTATTCTTAATTTAGTGCAGTACCAGGAAAATTAGAATTAGTGTTTGTGTGCCTACTGTATATCAGGCATGTGCCAGGAATGCTAATGTCTTTAATCTTCTGTAATCCTTACTATAACCTGTAAAGCAGACAAGTCTCCATTTTATAAAGGACAGTGAGAGTAACCTTAATGGTCATTTGACACCAAGGGCAGCAGATTACAACCCATGAGATATCCGAAGGCTGCTTTTTGTAGCTTGCTTTTGTTTTTGTTTTGAAACCAGGTCTCACATGGTACTCCAGGCTGGCCTGCAATTCTCTGTGTAGCTAACTCAGGCTGGCCTTGAATTAATTAGCGTTAATCTTCCTGTCTCTGTCACTCTAGCACTGGAATTACCGTCATTAGCCACTAAACCTGGCCCTCCCATTTGTTTTTGTTTTTAGGGGATGGGGGTGTTTTGAGACACGTTTTCACGTACAGAGATTGGCCTTGAACCCCTGATCCTCCTGCCTCTACTTCCTAAATGTTGGGTTTACAGGTGTTCCTCACTGGGCCTGGCTTCCTCATTTCTTTATGGCTTTTTGAGACAGGGTCTCACTATGTAGCAGTGACTGGTCTGGAAATCGCTATGTAGACCAGGCCAGCCTCCAACTCACAGAGATCTGCTTGCCTCTGCCTCCTGAGTGCTGGGATTAAAGGCATCTGCCACCATGCCTGGCAATTTTACTCTTGAAAATTGTGTAATTGGTTCTTGGGGTAACAGTTACAGAACAGAAATACTGCTTTCCCCCTGCTGCTTGCTATTCCAAAGAGCAGAGTTGCTATAAAGACAACCCTGTAAAATACAACACGGATTTAAATCCTAGGTCTGCTACTTTTAAGATTCCAGGAATCCGCAAATCATGGGAAACGGTAGGAGCGTTCCAACAGTGGTTGTAGTGTGCCTTCTGTGAAGAAGACAGCTAATGGCCCCGGAAGCTGGAGGGATTCTGGACAGCCTTGGCTCTGTGTGTTCCAATCAAATTGTCCTCATTAATGCAAACTGTGTGTGGAAATTGACAGACTTATATAGCCTAACAACTCACACCTGTCCGAGGTACTTTACTGAACATGTTTTAAAGAACAGTGTATCTGAAAATACCTCCATAAGTGAGAATGATTGGTGGAGAATATTCTTTTGTTCTCTTCTTCTGTATCTTTTCTACTTTACTGAAATTCATCCAAGCTTTAGTGCTGCTAGTAGGAACATTAAATGTGAGTTGTTTTCCAAATTTTGGAGGAAAATCATTGTATATTCATAGATGGTATGTATTCCTCTTTTTTTTTTTTTTTTTTTTTTTTTTTTTTTTGAGACAAGGTCTCCCCATAGTCCCAGCAGTCCTGGAACTTGCTATGTAATCTAGGCTAGGCTGGCCTGGAACTCACAAAGATTAGCCTGCCTCTGCCTCCGCCTCCCAAGTGCTGGGATTAAAGGCCTGTGCCACTATACCCAGGTGGTATGTATTCCTCTTAATGGCCTTAATTATTCAAATGGTTCTATTTCCCTAACAGAATTAATGTGAAAGCATTTTTCCCTGAGCTTTTCCTCATAGAAAATATGATATATAAATAAGATCATATAGTCTGTTATGTATATGGACTTGCAGATGACCTCGAACTATTTGAAAAGAATTAAGGTAGGGGGCTGGAGAGATGGTTCAGCAGTTAAGAGCACTAGCTGCTCTTGCAGAGGACCCAGGTTCGGTTCCCAGCACCCATATGGTGGCTAACAACCACCTGTAACTTCAGTTCCAGGGGACCAAACACCCTCTTCTGACCTCTGTGGATGCTGCATGACAAAGGTGCACTTACACACATACAAGCAGCACATTCATACACATAAAATAAAAATATTTTAAAAACTGAAGGTAGGAGGGTTATAGTGCCAGTTACTAAAATATACCACAATTCTGTAGTAAGTCAGTGGTTCTGATGCTGTGTATAGTACCATAGAATGGGGAAGAAATGTGCAGACAGCCAGGCATATAAGACTACTTTGTAAAAGATCAGCTTTCCAAGCTGCAAAAAGAATCACTTTGCAAAAAATGGTTCTTGGATAGCTGGAGGAAGATGATATGGGAGCCTTAGGACTGGCAAGTTAAATATAGGAAAACTAAACTACAGTGGGAAAGAAATATATGGCTGGTTTAAAAACTAGTTTGGAAAAAAAATTGAGTTGGAAAAATCTATAAAGGGAAAGATTGGTGGATCAAATTTAAAAACATTAAAATTTGACTTTTAGTTACCACACGAGAAAGCAAATGACAAATTGAGAGTGTTTGCAACAGGTATGATAGGCAAAAGTCCTATAGAAAAATTTTCTTTTTAGAGAGCGGCTCTGCTGCAGCAGGAGAAATGGATGAGGACAAGGACTTTTCAGAAGTGGAGGGGGCTGGGGTAGATTTCCTGCCCAGCATGCATCAAACACTGGGTTAGAGCTTGTAAACGGGGCATACACTGGGCATGGTGGTGCACACCTGTAGTCCCAGCACTCAGGAAGCGGAAGAATCATCAGAATTTCAGGGTCATCCGTGGCTACATAGGGAGTTCATAGCCTGTCCCACCATCCATCACTTTAGAAGCTTCCATTTATCTTTTGCCGATTGCACTGGTTCCTTCATCCCCACTCCCACAGATTAGCACTACTTTGTTGTTTTTGTTTAGTACATTAATATCATAGGCAGCATCTCAAGATTAATTGCCTTTGAGTGGTGCTTTCTTTGCAGCACTTTGAGATCTACAAGATTTCTACAAAAATTTTCAATGTGGAAAACGGAGACTACTTAGATGCATTGTAGGGAGGAGGGGGACCTGTATTATT